TGGGGAGGCGTCCACAAGGTTTAGGAGTGTGTCTATGGGAATGTTTGACCATTCTTCCAGAAGCGCATTTGTGAGGTCAGGTACTGATGTTGGACAAGAAGGCCTGGTTTATAGTCTCCGTTCTAATTCATCCCAAAGGTGTTCTATCAGGTTGAGGTCAGGACTCTGTGCAGGCCAGTCAAGTTCCTCCACCCCAAACTCGCTCATCCATGTCTTTATGGACCTTGCTTTGTGCACTGGTGCGCAGTCATGTTGGAACAGGAAGGGGCCATCCCCAAACTGTTTCCACAAAGTTGGGACCATGAAATTGTCCAAAATGTCTTGGTATGCTGATGCCTTAAGAGTTCCCTTCACTGGGCCAACCCCTGAAAAACAACCCTACACCATAATCCCCCCTCCACCAAACTTTACACTTGGCACAATGCAGTCAGGCAAGTACAGTTCTTCTGGCAACCCCCAAACCCAGACACGTCCATCGGATTGCCAGACAGAGAAGCGTGATTGGTCACTCCAGAGAACACGTCTCTACTTCTCTAGAGTCCTATGGCGGCGTGCTTTACACCACGGCATCAGACGCTTTGCATTGCACTTGGTGATGTAAGGCTTGGATGCAGCTGCTCGGCCATGGAAACCCATTCCATGAAGCTCTCTACGCACTGTTGTTGTGCCAATCTGAAGGCCACATGAAGTTTGGAGGTCTGTAGCTATTAACCCTGCAGATATTTCGCGACTTCTGCGCTTCAGCATGCGCTGACCCTGCTCTGTCATTTTACGTGGCCTACCACTTTGTGGCTGAGTTGCCGTTATTCCCATTAGCTTCCACTTTTTTATAATACCACTAACTAACGTTTCTCCATCAAAGTCAGTATTGAAGTTCAGCCATCTTGTATCTGTACCTCAGGGTTCATCCTGGCGTTGCTGTACTGTGCCAGTCTGTGCCAATTCCTTTTGTCACTAATCTGTTGGTAGCACATGGAGCACTAGGCTGTCTTTTCACATGTTCTCCACCCTGGCCTTATCTGCTTTGCTAAACAAATCTTTTTGACAGGTGGATAGCACAAGATGAAATTTGCAGACAAACTGAATAAGTTAGACTCACCCCGCCCCTTTCTCCACCTCCCTCCTGCTCTTATGATTGCTTCATATGCTGTTTCAGTCAGAGAGTGAAAGCCTGAGGCTAGGTTCAAACCTTCACTATACCGCACGACACCCGGGACACGCGTCCCAGGTCTGCGCAGTCCTGTACAATGCAGGCAGCGATTGCTGCACGGCCCCATTGATTTCAATGTGGTGATTTTCACGCGGCAATCGCAGAAAAAAGGTACATGTACTTTTTTTTTTTTGCGATACACAGTGCACGGCTGTTCGTGTTCGGAAGCACAGGCGGAATCGCAGCGGGAAACCAGCGCAACTGGGATGCCATTAGAAAACAATGGCGCCCAGAGTGCAATCGGCTCACACCTTGGCGACACAGCTTCTGCTGTGCTCTCTTTAAAAGCCCCACAATGCTCTGTGATACCATTCTTATGGGTACACCTTCATTTTAGATGTTTTATAAAGGAAGCTCAGGTCTGTTTATAGTTTTACTTTAACAGACATTTCTGCTTAGAAAACAGCATTTTCTTTTCACTGGTTTTACATCTGCTGGATAGCACATATAAGCAAGTTCCTTGTAGAAAGCCATGGTGATTCAAATTGTTTGATTTATCACCCCAAACCGGTATAAAGCATCTGAAATGTGCCCACGCATCAAGTCTGATGGACAGTCAGCGCTGGTTTACTGGTATTGTTTTCTCTCCTCCCATTACGTTGAACTAATTTTCATCAAGGAACCTTTATGGGTACATTTCAACATCCTTTAGGGCCTGTTCACACCACAAACAGTGTGTTTGAGTGGTCAGGCTCTGGAACGCACTGAATCTCATTCCGGCTGGCTCCCTGCCTCCAGTGCGATCACCCGAGCGCGTGGCACATTAGTGCCTGCATTCCGATCCAGTGCAATCTGCAAGCATTACTTTTGCAGATCGCACTGGACTGGAACGCAGACACTAATGTGCCGCGCGTTCAGGTGTGGGCGATCACACTACAGGCACAGGGCGTGACTACGGTGTCATTGAGTTCAATGCACCGTCACGCCTCCTCCCGCCCCTGAACGCAGGAAGCCAGCCAGAATGCGATTCAGTACGTTCCAGAGCCTGACCGCTCTGGAACGCACTTTGCGGTGTGAACCGGCCCTTAGGCTAAAATGAAGTCCTGGGTTTAAAAAAAAATGATTACCGCCATGCGCGCATCTGAACAGATTTATTTTGTTGGGCACTGGATGATCAAACAGGCCTCCAGCAGGGATCTGATGTTCTGTGATTTGAACATTGTGCCTTTCATAAATTCTTACTGAAAAGATGATGTTCTTGTAAAGTCCTTGTCCTGCTTTTCTCTCATATTTTGCTCTAGCAGGACTAGCACACTACAATAAGAGAACAGAATAAATGATCCTGAAATACAGACAGGTAAATATTGAACAATTGACAGTTTAGGAAGGGTTGGGTGTAGAGAAATGTGTGCGCTGCTTACACTGTCCTTAGTTATAGAATAGGGAGAGGTCTGGACATTTTTAATATGAGGGTCAATCATTCAATCTGGAAAAGAAAAGCATACATTAGTGGGGTAAGGTGGCCTCTATAACATGCTGCATGAACATTCACAGTCACTGTAATAGATTTCATAGTACAGGCATGGAGGCATTGTTATTTGATTGATCCTTGTAAAAACATGTTTTATGCTCTGTACTGACGTGTTCCACTGCATTGCTACGCAGTAACAGGTTTTACAGTAAGCAGAGCAAGCTAAACATTCACCATTATCTTCCAGCAAAACATAGGTCTCTGAACTAGTAATCAATCTTGTTTACTTCAGTGACTGAACACCAGGTGTTGCAGTGTACTTTGTTTCCTGTGGTTTCATTTAGTACCGTGCTGCAGATCGAGCAAGGCCATTATCACGTGTAAGAAGCATGATGTCATTGTATGCGACATTAACTATTGGGATAAAGACTGGAGTGTGTAGAAAGCTGTGCACATATCAGATAAATGAGACGTGGCTCCATATCTGCAGAGAGAGCTGTAGCATTGGGACATCTATGTTTTTTTGTCCCTAATGTGTCATTCTAGAGGGTGTATAAAACATTAAAGTAGTAATAATGTCACTTTTGTTTTTACATATATCTACTGCTAGCAAGCAGTAAATATATGCAAAAAAAAAAAAGTTACCAAATAAGTAAATACTTAGCTGTCTCTCCGCTGCTCGCTCCTGTCTGAAGATTCTCGAGCGGCCGTGCAGGATGAAGGGGCGGGCGCATGCGCAGTAGACACCTTCGGCGGGGAGACGAGGAGAAACACAGTGGAGGTGGATGCAAGCTGCCGTGAGTGTGCACGTCGGACAAACCCCGTGGGACACAGAAGACACAGCAGTCAGCGCTGGATCAGAGACCGGCACCAGCGCTGGAGGGACTCCTGCAAACTACTGGAAAGAAGATGATAATCGGATCAAGAGGTATTATTTAAGGTAAGTCCTTACAGCAGCATTGGGGGGAAAATTGTGACTTTAATGTCACTTTAACTATTGGGGTGTTTACTAGGTGTCCTGTATTTGATATAATATGTTGGCCAGGTGTAATCTGTTTAGTCATTTGTGCGAGGTTAATTCAACATGAGACATGTATAATAAATTGCTGACCATGCAATATGCAGTATTCTGAAAAGCTATAGTTCATGCTGCTGGGATGCTGATCCCGCTTAAGGTGCCCATACACCTTACGACCATCGCAAGACTTTTGTCTTGCGATGGTCGTATGCTTCTTGAAAGCCAGTACGATCTGCCCACCTTGGACGGGCAGATCGTACTTGCGATCATCGAAAGCCCGCCCCGCTGAGGGGCGGGCTTCCGATGACGGCAATGCAGAACGGGCAGTGTGCGCGTGCTCACACCGGCCCGTTCCGCAGCTATCGGACGAGCAGGCTAGAAACCCGCCGACAATCGTACGATTCTCTGCGGGTTTTCGAGCATGTTGGTTCGACAAAAGACGTGCGACTGTACAGTAGAAACAGTCGCACGTCTTCGTTCACACTGCTCGATTCTCGTACGATCACGGGATTTCGCCTGATTCTCGTACGAGAATCGAGCAGTGTATGGGCACCTTTTAGATGTTGAGCCAAATGGGAGTTTCTGCAGGTAGCATGGTAGGGGGGAAGAGGGGTCCTGAGCCAATCTGTGGTGTCATTGACATTTGAGGATGAGAATGCATAGAATAAGCACATGAAATGATGGCTGAAAATCGATCAAGCAACACTTTCGGTAATCATTCCATTACATGAAAACTTTGATGCAGTAGTTTAGATATATTACTTCTGATGTTGTTGTCCCAGGCATACACTTCACATGCTGCTTACAGCCATATTCAACAGTGATAGAGACAGGACACCAGGGGCCGGCGGTATTGTCAGCAGTGGTTTCTACACCCTAAACTGTTCAAATTAACAAGTCAGCATTGTGTCTTGCACTGCAGCTATTTCATGCCAATGGGGAGCTTTAGCATACTATAAAATGGCTTGAATTTGGACTATTTGCTTTTTATGCTCATTTTGTTTAGGTCAAGTCTTCCAATTGGTACCATGTACTTTAGTAAGTATCACAAACTCACTTATGACATTTCTGTCTAGCACAGAAGGTGTGAGATGTCCTCTCATTTCTGCTGTGAGAAGGATACACAGTTTAGCTCCAAAGAAAGCTCCACTGCAAGGGTTAAGAATATTTCTGCCTGGAGTTCTTCTTTAAAGCTGCCATTTAGGCAACCAGAAATCTGACACTCAGTTTGAATGGACCATTATTAAAACTCCATTGGGTGGGATGTAGCAGTTCTACTAGGAGAGCTGGTGTAATGAGTTAAAGTGAGAGTTTGAAATTGACAAACTTTTCTAACAGATTCAAATTGTGTTTTACCGTAGGAAGTTGGGGAGCCAACCAAAGATGAAAAGGCAATTGCGAAGTACTTACGCTTCAACTGCCCTTCAAAATCCACCAACATGATGGGCCACAGAGTGGATTACTTCATTGGTAAGCATCTACTGTTAGTGTAAAAGGTACACCCCAATATATAACATTCAGACTTGAAATATACACAGCAAACCAAGCCCATCTTCCTACAGCTTCTTGGTGTAAATCTTTTTGTTCAAGAGATCTTTACCAAACCACACAGACAACATCTGGAAATAGGGAAGAAGATAATGTTTGTTGTTCAAATCAATAAACTGATAACAATATGGCTCTTGTGTTACCAAATGTATCAATGTAACCATTGGAAGGATTGGTAGACTAGATAGAGGTGGACATTGAAGAGGAGACAATGACAGAGGAGTCCCTTTTATATTTAGTCTTTGATGTTGGGAGTGGTACCAGTGGCAGTAAAAACATGTTTGCCTTAGTACCGAGATAAGAAAGTGTCTTTTGTAGCACAAAAAGTTTGTTCCAGAAAGGTTTTGGTCAGGACAGCCCCAGCAGATGTGTATGCTTTACCCCGACACTTCCAGAAATCGATAGATTCATGCAGTGATAGAGAACGAAGGCTTTATTCCAGTCCTCTATACAGAAATACGCCTGCTGAGCATCCTTGGATTCTTTTTTAATCAGTCATTGCTGAAGTGCTCCAGGCTAACCTGCTGCTTTAAGTGTTCCACCAGCAAAAAAACTTTATTTAGAGTAGGGAATGGTCATAACCTACATGTCAACTTCTTTTTTCTCTGTCCCTACTGGGGGGTACCACACCCCATTAAACCCACCCCACCCCCCATTTCTTGTCTCAGAAACACAACATGGAGTAAGTGGGAATCTCTCCACAGTGAAATGAATTCCCTCTTGCAGTTGCCTCTGAAACAGGTGTCCTCATTGGAAATCTTTTTTTTTCCTCTCCACCTATTTCTGTGACATCCGTAAAACTTTGAATTTGCAAACACTTTGACCCAAAGGTAGTGGTCACCAGGACAAGTAGAGAGAGTGTGAATCTCCTCTGTGCCTACCTACACGGCCACAAATACCCAGCAGAGGTTATAACCCTTTCCAGCTCTACCCAAAGCTTTAAAAAAAAAGTTTTGGCAAGAAATATTCAGTTGAAAAAACCCTTTTTGCCAGTAGTCTGGTGTTGTGACAAGATACTTTACTGAGCAGTGTGAATATCCAGGCCTGGTGTTCTCAAGTCCCACCTACTATAAGACTTTTACTGTATCTCACAGAGAGAGAGAGAGGAAGTTGCATGGCACAAAGTCATTTAACCTGAAGCTGCAGTATATGTGAGGATCTTGCGCAATCAAGGCAGCAATGGATTAAACAGAACAGAAGGTAAATGGAGTGGTCTAACGCAGTTTAGGACAGCTGCAGTGTTTCCTGGAGAGGATTAGCAGTTCACAAATGTATTTTACATTTTCCCAGAAGTCTTTTTTTCTTGTCTTTTTTTTTTTTTTTTTTAGATTTTTTACTTTCTGAAATTGCCCTTTAAGTAAATTATCCTCTTTTATCCATTTGAAGAAAGATGCTTCTTCTTTTACCTTTAATATGTTACCAGAAAGTATTTTCTTTGTTTTTACATTCACATGCTTTTTTATTTCGCATACAAATGTGTACAGTTTCCCTCTAGTGGCTCAGTGTGCAAGCATTGCATTCACCATCTCAGCTGCTGACAAACTACTAACATACATAGTTTAGCAGCGTATCATTTCTTAACCAGTTGACATCTGCTCAGTATACCGCGAGCTACAGCTCGTGGTATAATGAGACGTCGCAGTATACCGCCAGCTACAGCTTGCGGTATACTGAGACGCCGCAGCTGAAGCGGATCCCGACAATTATGTCTGAATCCGCCCAGCTGCGTGAGTGACAGCTGACTCTGCCTATTTAGAGACAGAGCCAGCTGTACCCGCCCCCTCCCCCGTCCGTTCCGCCAGTGTGTGTTCGCTCACTTCCCGATCTACTGAGCCGACCTGTGACAGTCTCATTGTCACAGGTCGGCTAGAACTATGAGGTGAGTGAAAAGCACTCACCTCATAGTCTCCTTTAACAACCATTCTGATTACAACTGTTGTTTTTACTGGACATGTATAAAAATTAATCAAAGATGCTGAATGCCTATAGATGACCAGGCATCTTACAAATAGCACATCCAGCCCATAGGGAGTATTTGACTTGCTTTATAACCATCTATGCAAGCTGGTAGGCTTGTGAGAGAAAAGCAGCAACGCTCAGTCATTGTGCAGCACTACTAAGCAAGAAGCAGTCTGTATATGTAATGCAGAATTTGCTGGCAGATTAAGCAAGGCTTTAAGAAAGTGTCTCTGGAGGGGCTGCACATTTTTGTCAGTAATTTTTTGTTTTGCAGACTTCCTGTTTTGAACTACGTTGTTCGGCATGCAGTGTTTTTAATAGATTGCAGGGGAGGCAGACCCGGAGTTCAAAAAATGTCAAGTACATGCATAATAGAAATCAAAAGGTTCTTGAGTTTGCAAAGTTACAGTTTGTGTGAACATTACCACCGGCAAGTGTATACAGTGTTTGTGGGCAATAAAATACATATGTAGTACATCTCTGCATTACATTTCTCTGTGTTTTATCCCTCTAAAAATGAAAATCTGAAACATAACTGTTAATGTTGCCAGAGATCCATTGAGCACCTTACTTCCTGTTGTGGGCTGACGAGACTGCCTCTGCTACACTGAGTTCCCAAACAATGTCATCAGTCCTGCCTGAGTTCTCCTCCTGCTGACTCAGCACCTCCTCTTTTTCTCATCTCCATAACTCCCCCTTGTTTACATTCTCAGCACTTTCTCCCTCTTCCCACACAAGCTGCCTGGTGTTTGTTCTGCTGAAGGTTAACTGGCTTGCAGCCTGTAGTGCCAGTGCTCACATGTATGTATGTATGTATTCATCGGTTTATATTCCCAGCTAATGACTGCTCATTCTTTAACTCCCAAGAGCCTGTCCACACACATTTGTACAGAAAGAGATTTTGGAAGATGTAGTTCTGAGAGCTTGTATATGTCATTGGGAGCTGACATAAGGTACCCTGCTGATCCCTCCTTGCTGCTCCTGCAAGAATTTAAAAGACTGGTGATAAAGAGACAAGGAGTAATAAAGCCCCAGCGTCATTGGAGAGTTTGTGCAGCATGTGGATACAAAACTCTTCAAAGATCTGCACTGAAAACCACTGAATTGTAAACATTCTTATTGTTAAAGTGATATTAAAGCCTCAGATTTTTAAAAAAGATTTATATACAGTGTAATCAGACTTATTACTTCCGCTTGCTGTCCCATTGTGCAGACCTGTGCGTTTCCTGCACCCTCTTGCACAGACAAAACACCGCCTCTGCATCCTCCTTCCCTGTATATTGATTGACAGTTGTGTGTCAGTGTTCCCGCGTCATCAAGGACATGGCTGCATGAATGCATGGCAGAGCAGTAGCACAATGCATGATAGGACATGTGGTCCCTGTTACTTAGACCAGGAGCACACTCCCACCTGTTGCAAAGCAGCAAGGAGGAGGGGTGAGGGTGCAGCTTGAAAAAAGGTAAAAGAATATGCAAGATTATGTATTGTCAAATTGCCACAGCAGGCAGAGCTTCTGTAAGTACCTGTAATGCAGATTACATGCCTGTGTTCACTTGTCAAGGCGATAGCAGGGTCTCTTTAGTTCTGTTTTCAATACATACATAACTGAATTAATCTGTGCTGAATATGTTTATCTCCCTGACATTCAGCTTTAATCACTTGCTGTCCTCCCATTGTCATAGAGTGGGCATATAGAGCTCCTCCCAGAACGTCATGACAGATTAAAACATTGTTTAAAGTGCTTTTGTGCCCCTAACACACACATCTGTTGGGCAGCACAGATCACAAAAAAACATGCACAGAGCCATTGAAAATACCACGTGATCGCTGTGGTCAATCACCACATCACAAACAATGTAAAAACTGTCTGCAATCGGTGTGTGAGAAGGAATTGTTCTCTGATCACCAGCCAGCACCAGTGGCATCCAATATCATAAGCAGTGTCATCCATAACAGTGCCAGCCGGAATCGGTGTTATCCAGTACCAATACAAGTGTCCACCAGAACCTTCTTCAACCAGCGCTTGCCATTTTGTGAGCGGTTATACTATCCTGGCACTCCAGGGCCTCCAGAAAGTTTCATAGGTAGTCGGTTAAAGTATCGCAGCACTAAATAATGGCCTGGACAGAAGGAGGCTTAACCTGCTGGTTCTAAAGTGGTTAAAGCTTGTGCTATGTACAGCAGTAACTGAACCTGCATGTCAGATCATGGCTGTTCAGACACCTTGGGAGCCCTGAAACATGAGCTATGTTTTATGAAAATCATTTTGCTCCTGGGTTACACTATTGGTTCAGTGGTATGTATAACAAAATCCATTTTTAGGGTTTACATTAAAAAGCAAACAACATAGTATAAAGGAGTGTTCTGGTTTTAACATGTTTAAAGTGACATTAAAGGATACGTTTTTTTTCCCTGTTAATGTTAGCACTTACCCTAAATGATGTCTCTTAATCCGATCTTCTTTCCTGTCGTTTTCATCTGTCTCTCCAGCGCTGCTGCGGGTCTCCGATCCAGCGCAGACTCTTCTGTGTCTGCTGGCACTTCCGATCCCGCGGTGTCTGCATGCCGGTGCACGCCGTCCATATACTTACCTTGTGTCTCTCCTCGTCTCCCGGCCGAAAATCTGAACTGCGCATGCGCACGCTCCAAGATCCTTTGCAGCCACCCGAGATCTTTCAGATTTTCGGACGGGAGTACGCGGCGAAGGCACAGGTAAGTTTAAACCACTTTTAAAGCATTTTTTTTTTTTTTTTTTTTTTTACTTTTTGCATATATCTACTGCTTGCTAGCAGTAGATATATGCAAAATACCGGAGGGTTTAATTATACTTTAATATCACTGTCAGTGTTGGCTTTCCTTTTTTGTTTATTATACATTTTTGGGTGTTTTTTTTTCCCCTGCAAATTACACTTTCAATGAGCTTGTTCAGAGCAACTCTTCCCAGTTCTCGCTTCTGTGAAATCAATGCTGCTAGAAGGCACAAGGTAGAGAAATACTGTAATAGCGTTAGTACACCCTGTTGTTACTACACTAGGGGTGGAAGATGGATATCCATGCTGGTGCCCCAGCCAGCCTTGAGGACCTGATGAAACTGAAAAGAGAATACATTTGGGGTTTTTACCCTTTTTTTTTTTTTTTTTATCAGACCCCATAATTGTATTATTTCCAGAATTTCTGTACTTATACATATTGATAGGATTTTTTGGGGAATTACATTGATGTATTTGTTGTTTACACCTTATGAGCCATAATGCAGATCTCAAAACCTATTCTGACAACCTGCCATTACATTACGCTTTGATTAGTGTTGGACAGAGTTGGAAATATTTGTTTATTAAACAGTTGTATCTTTTGTTTGCAGCTTCTAAAGCAGTGGATTGTCTTTTGGATTCCAAATGGGCAAAAGCAAAGAAAGGGGAAGAGGCCCTGTTCACAAACAGAGAGTCTGTGGTTGAATTTTGCAACAGGTATGTGTTGTTGAAAGAGACTGTTAGCAATCCAGCATCCAATGTTTTATTATTTTTTAGAGAACCTAAAGGGAGAAAATTACCTAAACTACTGGAACTGAAACTGAAATATAATATTATGTAGCCCCCACCTCCCTTAGCAAAAGTCATGCAGTGTTTCTTATGCAGCTTGCTCCTCTAGGCCTAAATCCTGAGTGTAATACAGTCTTCCACTCTTACTGGGAGCTAACTTCCTGGGCACCTGTCTTCCCAGCTAGCTCCCTGTGCCCTTGATGATTGGTCCCCTTACAGCCCCTTCCATTGCTCCAGGACCACCCGGTCTACTGTTCCTGTTCCCTCCTACTTCTCTCCACAGCTCAGCATTATTGCTTTCCTCTGCCTGTAAGCCAGCCAAAGTGGTGACTATAGTCCTCTGCTTCTGGACAGATGTACATGCGGCAAGGAGCACATTGTAGGTTTTCACTATTAACAAGCACTCAGGGCAGACTCTTAGCAGATCTTATGGAAAACCGTATTATTATAAAAGAACTACAAGACAAGCTGCTATCATAGCAAGGTATATCCCACTGCACTCCTGACCGGAAACAAAGCCAAAACTCGGGTGGGTGCCGATGTGACCGCAGACGTCTCCGCCAATAGTACAAAATCTATAAATGGTCACTCGCACTCCAACTTGATGCAAAGTCAATACCTTTTATTGACTTGGATAGTGTCACGTTTATAGCGACATTTCGGAACCATGTGGCTCCTTCAGGCAAACATAAATTTTACTTTATGTTTGCCTGAAGAAGGAGCCACTTGAAAGAGACAATGCACAGAAAAAACACACACAATACATTCACTTTGACATGCATTAAAGGAGAACTATGAGGCGAGTGATTTCCCCTGATCCTCATAGTTAGAGCTGACCTGTGACAAAGAAGCTGTCACAGGTCGGCTCTTTCGATCAGGAAGTGAGAAGAAACATGCACCGATCTGCTCACTTCTCGACCGTCTCCTTGCAGTGACTGGTGACTGTCAGTCACCGCTCCCCGCATGGATTCTCTCTCCGATCCTCCAGTGCTGAGCCAGCTGTCACTCACGCAGCTGGGGGAATCTCGACAGTATTGTTGGGATCCGTCCCGGCTGCAGCGCTCTCAGTATATCGCGGGCAATAGCACGCAATCTACTGAGCTTTGGATCACGGGAGGAGGTTAGTATATGTCCTTCTATGACCCTAAAGAGAACTATGGGAAACACACTTACCCCATAATTCTCTTTTAACGTTTTTTGTTTAACACATTTTATTGCGCGATGAAGTGCGTTTTTTGTGCATTTGCCACATTTTTTAAAAATTATTAATACGACAGACGTTATGTTTACATGCATTGACATGTATTTTTATTCCCTGTGTTACGTACAAATGTACACATGCTGCAAATTCATGCAACGCACTTGTGTGGTATGAACAGGTTCCTGCTCTGAGCCTGTATTGCTCCATGGACATGGTGTAATAGAGCCCTTAAAAGATGATCACATGTTTAATGACCTTTTTCAGTTTCATTTTTAGTATACATTTGTAGTCACTTTTTCTGGAGCATAGCAGTGAGAATTGCTGAGCTTTAACCCCTTCGTGACTGACGACGTACAGTGTACGTCGCCAGCATCGGGGCTGTTTAAACAGACTCCCGGCGACTTTTGCCGCCGGGACTCTGTTTAACCAGTTGACATCCGCGGTGTTAAACCCCCTTCCCATCCAGGCCATTTTTCAGTATTCAGCGCTGCGGTACTTTGACTGACATTTATTCCGTCATGCAGCGCTGTACTGAAATGAATTTTATACCCTTTTTTGAGGACAGATAGAGCTTTCATTTGGTGGTATTTATTTAAAACTG